TGTCATGAGTTTCAACATCAAGAAGCGCAACTTTCTTCTGGCCAGTGTATGGACCTCCACATCCGGACAGCGGCGTCAGATGTTACCTTCAAAACCATAGTGTACCCCACTGGAACTGGAAGTGGAACTGGAACTCCCCCCCCCCGGATAAAAAATAATCATCCACGCTAAACTGAGGTTGGCAATCACGTCCAGACTCGGGCCCACAATTGGAACTGGAAGTGGAACTCCCCTCCCCCCTCCCCAGTCTTCCGTGTTGGACAACGTGGAACTGGAACTGGAACTGGAACTGTTCCACCCGCCCGGGGCACACTCTGTTCAAAACTGTAGATCGTTTAACTGTTTAACTTATCAATCTAGATGTATTTTGACCTTCGGGAGGTACAGCTGGGAGGTCGAGAGGAGCTTACTTAGGTAGCGCTACTAGGGAGTTTCCTTGAACCTTCGCGATTCGGTGAGGCTCAAAGTCGGTTCTCCTTCGGTTCTCCTTTGGTTTTTGTCCCCTCGGTTCTGTGTTTATTGCCACACTGGGTTCGCACCTAGCAGGCATCGATTCCCACTTTGCGCGCTATTCGTTTTGGACAAATAGCGCCATTCATTCTTTAACCAGTTCGAAAGACCGGACTTTTGGCTGACTCGTATTGACATTCAGGTTGCGTGAACTTTTGCCACACTGCGTGCCGTTGACGCGGAAGCCTTTGGTGCTGCCCCACCCTGAGGGTATTTTGCGTGAGATGAAACATTCCCTTGCAGGTGGAGGAGTTGTGACATGTGTTGCACTAATATATAGGTGGTAAGCCCATGTATGTGGTAAGCTCAAATCGGAGGGTGAGGCCCTCTTTATAAATCATTTGGCGTCTTCTTAACTCAGCAATTGTTTACTTTCTTCTCAAGTAGTTCTTCTTTTGAGGTCTCAAATGCTGGGTTGAAGCTGCTGCTTGGCTCCCAGCCGCAAGAGGTTTGGCTTCTGCTGCCAGCTGTTGAGCTGAGGCCTGAGCTCAAAGAAGTGGATATGGCCAACATTGCTTGGTCTTTTGCTACAGTTCCTTGGTAGCGACAGGAGTTAAACCAAAGTGTGGCTACTGAAAGGAGTTCTATACTGTAAAGGTTTTTGTCTAGGTATTGAGTGCTTTGATCGCGTTTTCCCAACCAGCAGTGTGCTGCAATGGGTAGAGGGTATGACTTTGCTGACCCTTTACGTGGATCGTTTTGGGGGGTTCGAGTTGTGGATCGCACACTTCAGCTGACACGCGCAAACTGCTTGTGACACGTGCCACATACCGGCACCCTCCGAACTGTTGAAGGTTTGCTACAGGTCGCTTGTCCGCTGCATTTTCATTGTGGGCAGTTGGAGTCCTTGTGCGAGTGCCAGATCCGTTTGCAAAGGTGGATGGCCCTGTGAGGGCCTGGGCCCTGTAGACCCTAGCCCTAGTAGCCCTAGTAGAGTCTCGAGTCAAAACTGCGCGGGTTTGGATTGGAGGTGGGCAGCATGACACCATGCCTGACACCTGCGCATGATTGGCAACATTTGGCTATCCATGCTTGCCAGGCTTCCTCGTGAGGAGTTTCACGAATAGGATCAACCGGAGTGGGAGCGTTCCAGATGGAACAGCGGAGGGTTCCATCGTTGGTGCTTGCGGAGAATTTCTGGCTGGTCGGGGTTGGTCGTCTGCGGCGCGTGAAGGGTGAAGGGTGAAGCTCCGTGGCCGGACCGGGCCTTTGGACAGCAAAGGGCATCGGAGCGATCGGAGGGGCTCCTGGCATCGCTACGAACGGAGCAGAGGGACGCTACTAAAACCTCCTGGCCATTGGGACTTGGTGTGAAGGGTGTGGCGATGCGTGGCGTGTTGCACGTGCTTTCCACGGAACTCTTGTCGCAACTTGTCGCCTTGGTGCCCGCCCCACCGCCTTCGTGCTGTAGCACGAACGTCGATTCAGGTGGCTCCAGAAGATCAAATCGCTTTGAGCTCAGGAGCAGTTTCGGTGCTGAGGGCTCTTTCAATTTTCCAAGGTCGAAGCGATCCTGCAAATGTCAAAGGAAAGGCGGGATTTGAAAGGTCATGAGGACGCCATCACAAGTAGGTTGGAGGCCATCTATTAGTGGCAAGAACTAGTAGGAGCTCCTGGCCTTACTTCTACGGGTAAGGACGCTACTAGGGGCTCCTGGCGCTACTAGTAGCAAGAAACTACTAGTAAGTTTTCAATTGAGAATTGAGAGTTTCCTTGAGATTTAGCAAGTGGTTTGCGCAGCCTGCCTTTCGCAGGCTCCGAGCGTCGCTTGCTCAGGTTTGCTTTGATTTCGATGTCGTTCACCTTTTGAAAGTTTTGCTAGAGGCCATTTTTAAGGCCCCGTCGCGTTTGCTCGCTAGGACCCTTAGGATGGCTTGCCTTCCCTTGATGTGTTATGTAACATGTAGCTCGAATCTGTTGGTCCCATCTATAGTCAAAGGTGAATGAACGTCTTGTTACTACTAGCTTCTTGTTCTACTAGTAAGGCACTTGTTACTACTAGTAAGGCACCTGTTACTACTAGTAAGGCACTTGTTACTACTAGCGTGGCAACAAGAATGTTTTTTCATGTTTTTGCAGCATTTCAGCGAAAGCTCGTGACAGCAGAACAGAACAGTTATATGACATGTATCTTCTTGGACAAGTGTCCAAACGACAATATTAGTTTTCATTCTAAACCGTTGAGAGGCCCTTGGGTGGGAGACTGTTCGTTGAATGGTGCTTGAAGACACCTGTCTTCGGCTTCTTAAAGGATCTTCAAGAGAAGGGCAGTAGTGCAAAAGGAAGGAAGCTCAGCATTTGTTTTCCATAGGCACTAGAATTGTGCACAGTCGGAAAGATTGAAGAAGAACCACGAATGTTTGCTCTGATGGACAAAAGGAGTTCCTACATCCACAACCTGACCCTGCGACACTTTCCAATCCTTCCTTGTTTATGCATTTAAGATTCCAGCTGTTTTCTTCCATCTCACTAGGTCGGAGGTTGGAGGCCAATGCTCTTAGGTTTGAGGCCGGTGCTCTTGGGTTGGAGGCCATTGCTATTAAGTGAATGGAAAGGATTTGGAGGAAATGCGGAAGGAAGGGTATTGACGGGCTCCAGCGATGCCAATGACCGCAAAATTCATTGTTTGGTGTTTGCTAAAGCGCGCGTTTTCCAAACCGTAAAATTGGTGGTTTCTCCGGTTTGCCCACTTCAAAAGAACACCGGAAGGTCGTTTTGCAATGGTCCTCCCTCCAAACCACCCATTCAATAGGCGTTTTTGGACCTCGTGAAGTTCGCAGAAGCCGTTTCCTATTTTGTGACATGTTAAATGCCCGCAGGCGTTCAGCCCCGGCATTTGTCATATTCATTTCTTGTGTTTTGGCTTTGTGAGCGCATCAAAGTGCGTGTTGGCAGTGGTTCGCCCTAACTGATGCAGAGCGACACCAAAACGGGGACCTTGTCGCCGGACCTTTGAAGCGCAAAAACGGGCTCGAAAAGTGCCAAGTCACCGGGCCACGGGCTCGCTGTGTGGGTTGGACAAGAAAAGAAGGAAGGGAGGAACAGAGCGAGGAAGAGAAGAGAAGGAGGGAGGCCGCTAGTTCAAGTGAAAATCCACCGCAGAAACAAACCGAGCTGCCAGCACTGTGCTGCACGTGCACTTGGGAAACAATCTGGGAGTGCAATGGTTAGGAATCTGCGGTTTCCGCGGTTTTCTTGGCGGTCAGCCTTGGTATGCATTCCGAGGCTATGTTTGTCAGCACACTCGGCTAGTATTTTGCGGTGAGTTGGCAGACAAGCCGCGATCAGTTTGGTTGGCACTCTGAATCTCGTTTATTTTGTATTTTCATATTTAGCCACTATAGCCCATGCATGTTGATTCTAGTCTAGTTCGAGGTAATTGGTTTCGCATGGTAAGTTTGCTGCTTGTGTCTGAGAATGGGGCATGGCGCAAAGAGAATAGTAATAGTAATAGAATAGTAATAGGTAGATGCACATATATTGGACGGTCGACGCAGCGGTCGTTCGTGCGCTTTGTGCCTTTGGGGGCGCCAAGGAGCCCACGCAGGAGTGGAGTGGCGGGCCTTGCCAGTTTACATGGGTGAAACCCAACATAGACAATGACAAGGTTGACACCAACTTTGGAAGCATTTTTTTTAATGGTGTTATTGCTATCATGTCTGGGTGCTGGACCTCAGATGGGGTGATGCAGTGTGATCTGTGCAAGGTGAACGTGCTTGGTTTGGTCGAGGCCTTCCACACAGCTGGCAAACTTGAGGAGAGTATTCTATTCATCCAGCATGCATTGTGTCAATAGATTTCAGATGATTGTAGTTGTGTTGTTATGTGTTAATATTTACACGCGTTAGCTGCAGCTGTTGTTTTGTGGTTCGGCAAGGAATCGTTTGTGAAAACCGCCTTGGATGCGCTTCTAATACAAGCAGATGAAAACGACGAGGCGTCCAAGGCCAGAAGGTGAAAAACTCTCGAAAGGAGTGGAGGCCAAAGGGCAATAAGCTAGTAGTAACAATAACAGCTACGAAAGTAGCAAAGGGCATCGCTAGGAGCAAGGACGCTACTAGTAGCTCCTGGCCTTACTACTAGTAACAAGATGCCGCTATTAGGTTGGAGGCCATCGTTTTGCCCCAGTCTTTAGTTGAAACTCTCAGAGGCCGAGAGTCCCGAGCCACCGGCAAAGTTGCTGACAACCTACTCCCAGCAACTTGGTCAGATGCCCCGTCGTTTTTGAACTTCGCAAATCAGCGATGCCCTTGTTACTAGTAGCTTCTAGCTACTAGTAGTAATGGCCTCCACCCGCCTCCAACCTAATAGCGTCCTTGCTACTAGTAGCGATGCCCTTTGCTCCTAGTAGCGTCCTTGTTCCGTTCGTAGCGTGTTCGAGGTTGCGTCGCTTCTGCATCTCAGAGCCCGTTCCCGGGACCGGTTGCCGGAATAAGGCGATCGTAGTGGCGGTCGCATCGAGTGAGGCCTCGTGTTCTAGCTTGGCGACCAGAGCTCTATGTGTGAACCTCGGTATGCAGCACGAAGAGTGTGTGAATGGCGTTCGGGACCGCTGTTGGTGGCGTCAAGATTCGATTGAGGCCCTTTGGAAACCACCTGGTTGGGACACCAGTGTCCATTCGAGGCCTTCAAGTTTAATTGCTAGTACATTGGAGGCCATCGCTTCTAGGTTGGAGGCCTTTGCGTGTTCAGAGGTTGGAAAAGCGATCGACACTGAGAAGCTGGCTGCAGGATAACTTCAGGCTAGGACAGGAGGAATCTCACAAATTCTTGCTTTGCCGGAGTTTGGTGCTGTTCCTGAGGCAGTATCCAATCGTCCACGATGAGAGTTTGCAACTCAGGACATTTTCCAAGGACAAGATTGGGTGTGGATCCGGAAGGAGTTCAAATTGTAAGGGCTTCGCCCTGGTGCCGCCGACCCCTTTTTTAGAAAGGACCTGCAGTGAAAGCTTAAGGTAGAGACGAGGAGCAAGAACGCTACTAAACGTAGAAGCGAGCCGCGACGAGCGAGAACGCCTGACGTCGCCTGGAACGCCCCGGTAGGTGGCCTTTTCCGCCATCTAATTCCACACGAAGAAACGAACAAGATATTGTCCTGACAGGGTGCCAAAGAGCAGGTTCAATGAAAAAAGCTACCGAAGGCCTGCTGCAGAGGGTTTGGGACCGAGCATGGGCAAGAATGCTTGGAACCCCAAAGACCCCCTCCCAAGGCTCCCAGCAGTCTGCCGCTGCAGCAGCCCAGGTGATGGCCACCGAGCAGCCTGCTGGTGTGTAGACTGCCCAAATCGGGCTGGTGGCTGGTGTGCCCACCAATGCCAAGGCTCACTCCCAAGGCTGCCCTTCCACCACGCAGGTCTAGTCCAGGGAAAGGCCTCCCAGCAGGTTTTGCAGCAGGGCTTTTCCGTGGCAAACGACGCCATCTATTTCCACACCAAAAAGGGATGCGCCGCAGCCAGCCAAAATGCCTAACGTCGCCTGGCACGTCGCCTTCGGGAGCCCATAAAACAGTTGCCTGGCACGTGCCAGAAGCTCACTCCCAAGGCTCCCGGCAATCTGCTCCGCCACGCTTTTCCATGGTGATGGCCACCAGACGGCAACGTGGCCACTCCCAGACAAGGCAGCATGGCCACTCCCAGACAAGGCCGTAGAAGCTATAGTAGCAGCCCGTTGGCTAGGGCGCGCGGCAGCCCTGTAGACTGCCCAAAACGGGCTGGTGTCGCAGGACGGCCACACCTAGAATCGGCACCTTCGACACACTCTGGATCTGCTTGGCGCAAACGACGCTCCCAAAGCTGCCTTCTCGGCGGGTTTCGCAGCGGGGGGGTTTCCGAGGTGGCAAACGACACCATCTATTTCCACACCAAAAAGGGACGCGCCGCAGCCAGCCAAAATGCCTAACGTCGCCTAGCACGTCGCCTTCGGGAGCCCATAAAGCAGTTGCCTGGCACGTGCCAGACGCCCACGCACGTCGCGCGAGCCCAGCAGTTGCCTGGCACGTCGCTTTCCATGCCTGTAACGTCGCCTTCGAAGCCTTATCATAGAAAAGAGGTGCAGGCCAAGGCCTTCTAGGCTGGTGTGGCTAGTGAGCAGCCCAGGTGATGGCCACCAGGCGACGCGCTCTGGATCTGCTTGGCCTAACTGTTTCACCCTGCGGTGTGCCTGGCGCCGCCCCGCCTAGGCGTCAGCTAGGCAGGGGTCGGCGGATACAGGTCCACAGGGTGGAAGCCGCTTGGAGATGCCTGGAGACACTCGAGCGTGAGACACCGGAGCATGTTTTCAGGACATGTCAGGTCATGTGTGGGTGTGGACTACTCTCGGAGAGTGCACAGACAGATCGATGAGCTTGCAGGTCAGCTACCTTGTTGAAGACCCATTATTGTTCTTCTTCTATTAAGTTTAAGCATTCCCGCTTTGAATGTAAGAGCAGGCGATGGTCACATCGTCCATACATCCAGCACATCGGGATCATAATTCCCAATGTGCAGCTGCAGCTGCTTCAAAAAATCCGCCCACACCGCTACCGCAGGGCGTGTTAGGGGGCGGGTCAAGCTGGAATCATCGTCCTCATCACATCGTAATCAGTTCATAGCTCTGCTAGGGGGGGCTGTTTTTTGTTCGGTGAAAAACGTCTTACGCCTCGAGGGGGCGTTTTGGAGGTACATGTTTGGATTATTTGTTTGGTTTCGTTGCGATATTTCTGCAACAACCCAGACAACCAAAAAAACGGACACCCACGATGCTTAAAAACCCAACAACGTAGCCCCAACACATGGTCACCAAACGATCAAGCTAGCCTTGACATGATGTAATGTGGACTAACCAAGCGGGGGCAAGGCCACAAAACGGTCGAACTTGGAGCCTGAATTGGCTTTAACATGGCCACCAAACGAGCGAACTTGTGCGTAACTCAGCCGCAACATGGCCATAGAAATACTGTCATGTGCAAAATTTTCCACATAATGCGAATATTGTTTTGTCGTGAGCTGCGTGCGCAATGGCACGGTGTTACCACTTCTCCGTGTCGCCTTTGGACACCAACTGTCGTCTTTGGACCTCCCCTGTCCACTCCAGCAGTCTTTCCCCAGGCCGAAAAAAAAGAAGGTGTGGGCGGCGGTCGACGCGAAGCGTCAGGAATATGCTAAATGGAAATCTCAATGCTTTCAAAAGCATGGTGTCAGCCAGTTCAAGGCCGCAAGCTTCGGTCAGCTCCGGTTGATCTCAAGCGACAAGCTTGCAGGAACCAAGCAAATGCTTTTGCAACTAGGTTGGAGGCCATCGCTGCTAGGAGCAAGAAGCTACTAGGAACAAAGGGCATCGCTATTAGGAGCAAGGACGCTACTAGGTTGGAGGCCATTTCAATTAAATCTAGAACTCTGGTTCCGTGAGCGCTAGAACCTTTGGCCCCCATCATGGACACGCGGAAAGGGTGCATTCTTCAAGTGCGCTTTTTGTTTGTTTTTAAGGAAGATCAAGTGCAAAAGTCGGGATCGGCACGTCGTCCTTTGTTTTCTTGAGCCAACGAGCGAGTGCACAACTGGTTTGTGCTTGTCAACTGAAACATGCGATCGGTCTCGATCATGAACCGTTCACACTCCCCCTACCTGCTAGGCAGCTACTTGAGTGCTTTCTATGCTCAGCTTTCTTCTGCCTTGCATTCTAAAAGAAAAGTTCTTCCTTCATTGGAAAAATTCAAAGCTGCCCTCAGAATCATTGGGGTCTTCTTCACGTTGATCTGGCGCCGTTCGGCTTGGTGCTCGTGGTGGAGGCATCTGCGTGCCCACCCCCATCCACACAGGCAGCTGATCTGCTTCAGGCGGCAGCAATTCCCCGGCTGCCTCAGACCCTCCATTCGTAGGGCGTAGAGCCAATCATCTCGTTCTTCTTCATCCCTGGTCATGCCGTCATGGCCTTGCGGCCCTTCAGACCAGTACACCCCGGGCTCATGGTCCAAGCCCTCTTCATAGATTGGTTCTGCCTCGCCCCTTCTCTCATGGCTCTCCAGCCTGTTCAGGTAGCCCAAGGACAAGCCACCCTCCATCGCTTGTAGGCCCCGAACTTGTGCCGAAGATCTCCTCGAAGTTGAGGATCTTGTAGTTTCTCCCCAAAAGCCTTGCCGCCCCCCGGAAGCGCCCGAGGAACTAATAGTGTCATTGGTGCCCATTCGGGCATAGCGCACATCCGTCAACAGCTCCTCTGACTCCGGCACCGTGGGCTGCTCTATTGGCAATGGCCTTGGCACTGGCTGCACCGTGAGCTGTTCGGTTGGCCTCGGCATTGGCGGCGGGCCAGATGAGCCGCTGCCCATCGAGGATGTAGTCAAGCTCACAGGTTGGGGGGTTGAAGAGCTCCCCGATGTCAAAGTCTCTTGAGTCGCCCCGGTCCCCTCCGGAGTGATCTCTTGAAAAAAGGTGTAGCCAACCCATGGCTCATTTGGAGGCATCACTGGCGAGGTACCATCTCGCCAATCATCTTGGATCACCTGCTTCTCGCCATGGCACCAAACCACCACCGTTCTCAGGTTCTGGAGGCGGCTGCCTTCAACCGGCGTTTGGCGATGAAGCGGATGAAAAGGTCGGACCCTCGGTTTCACATGGTGGCGAACCCACCATCCATCAGCAAGCCGTCCCCACCGGTCTCGCCCTTGAGGTGGTAGGGAGAATGAATACCATTCCCAAGGCGGTCCAGTCTGCGGCAGCGGCGATCGAAAGGCTGCCAAGCGCATCCGCGCTCCCCCCATTCCAGGAGCCTTGAAGGCTAGAAGTTCTCACCACTTGGGGTGATTGGAAAATGCCATTGGGTTCATCTTCCCTCAGCGGATCTTGTTGGCCAGCGGCTCTTTTATGATCTCTCCAACAGCTAGCTAAGCGAGCAACTACCGCGGCGATGCCTACAAGCCGAGCCAATTTGCTCAAGGCTTCAAGTGGTCTCCAAGCAGCTAAGCCGGCTACCACGCTTGCAAGCACAGCCACTTTGGACCGTCGCTCCCCCGGAGTCTCAGGACTCTCATCAGCTGCCTCGCCATCCGCTGCCTTCGAAGCTGCAGCGCGCAAGTTCATGAAGAGCATGAAGGCCTGCCAGGCACCCAACTGCGTCACCGGCTTGGTGAGCAAATCCGCCGCGAGTTTTGCGCCTGCCAAGTGTCTCACCTTCCACAGCCCCATGTTGACACGTTCACGAATTGCAAAGCACCGAAGCCTCAAATGCCTTGTGCGCCAGGCACCGTCCGGGGCTTGCAAAATCTTCAAACCAGTTTGGCTGTCCCCATACAAAACCCCCAGCTCATCATCCAGCATCCCCTGCTCCAAAATGTTCACAATGGCGCTGGTGGATTCCCCCATCACCACACCATCCAAGTAGCCGCAAATCTCGGCTTCCGAACTGGAGAGAGTGGCAAAAGGTTGCAACTTTGACTCCCACTGAACAGGAGCGCCACCACAGCGAACAATGACCCCCTGTTGTCCTCGTCCACCCGGCGGGGCGAAAGAGGCATCGCAAAAAATCTCCAACTTCGTCATGGTGCTCTTAATGGCCAAATCAGATCCATCCTCCAGAGTAGGTGAACACTTTCCGTATCTCAAACAGACATTGGAGGTGTTGGTGACATAGCCCAAAACATGCTTACCATATTCACAAACACGAGCTGGATATTTGCCCACACCCCGACCAAGCCAGGCCACTGCAAAGGACAAATCAGGGCGTGTTCTCGTTGAGCCAAAGCAATTCACTGACGAGCCCTTGAGCAGATTTGATTTGCTCTGCAGTTGGATTTTCTTCAGGGTCATCACATAGTGTTCCTGGCAGAGGTGTGGCTTTGTGTGCTGCAGGTTC